AAATAAAAAAGAATAGAGATATAATGACAACATGAAGAATAGAGGCAATCAAGGTGTACCACATATGTGATTTAGAGTAGATTAGCTTCTCTTGCAATGTAAAGAAAGAAAATGAGAAATAGTGTGATGGTGTACAGTTTAATTTGCTTCATGAGAGTAACTATTTTACTAATATTTATCATACATGATGAAATTTATTTTTAAACAAAATAAGAAAAAAATGCAAGACAAAGATGAATTGGAGAATAGTGAAGCAAAACCTCAATATAAAAGTCAACAGAGCCTGTATCAGTCAACTTTTCATCAGGATGACCAAAATTCCTAACATAGACAACTTGGAGAATTTATTTTGGCTTACAGAGGTTTCAGAGGTTTCAGTCCATGGTCAGCTGACTACAATGGTTCTGGGCCTCAGTTGAGGCAGAACATCTTGGAGGAAGGACCTGGTTGAAGAAAGCTGCTCAGCTCATGGAAGCCAGAAGCAGAGAGAGAGAGAGAGAGAGAAGGGGCCAAATACAAATAGAGTCCACAAGGACAAGCCACCATGACATCCTTCCTCCAACCATGCCCCACCTGCCTACAATTTCCACCACTCTCAGTAGACTCTTCAAATTATTCAAATTATTTATCCATCTAGTACATTAATCCACTGATGAGGTTACAACCATCAGGGTCAATCAGTTCCTAAAGGCCCATTCTGGATAATCATTGCTTTTCCTCACACCCTTTTAAACCATTTGATGCATGACTCTTCTGTACAAAATCCCAAACCAAGAACTTGTCTAATGAAGCCCTGCCTCATTTCCTCCTGCCTATTCTCTTGCCTGTTTATTTCTGTCTGCTCCTCACATTTCATCTTTATGTGTCCTGCATTCCTTGAGTCATCATGTCTGTATCTTTAACTGAAGAAGGCACTCTGTACAGTCTACCTACCTAACTACAGGTTAACAAATTCTTCTGAAAAGAATAAGATGAATATGCAAATGAATTATACCAAAAATTCAGTCCTTTTTAATGTGTCTTTAACATTCCCTTCTCTAGTGGCTCTTTCTCAAGGAAGTGATGTATGAGCAAGT